TCTGATTGGTCAGCCCGCCCACTCTGTTTTGATGAGTCCACCACCGTTACAGCGGAACATCAGTGATTATGTTTTACAATGGCGTTTGTTAGCAACCAGAAAATGACACCAGTAATGGCAAACAGATGAGAATGCTGCGTGGGGTCTGGGTGCCGTGTTGGCGGGACGTTGCGGGGCTCACTGCTCCGCTCTTTGAGGCTCGAGGAGCGGACAGTGTGAGCTGGATTACTGGTGTCGTTTACTGGTTGCTGCGTGGGGTCTGCGAGACCCAGGCTGAACACACACACACTCACAGCCAGGCTGCCAGGCTGGTTGTTTTCTAGACCTGAGGTCAGCCAGGCTGTGAGTGTGTGCGGAAATCTGCGGAGCCGCGGCTGAGAAAAGTGGTGTGTGTGTGTGTGTGTGTGTGTGTGTGTGTGTGTGTGTGTGTGTGTGTGTGTGTGTGTGTGTGTGTGTGTGTGTGTGTGTGTGTGTGTGTGTGTGTGTGTGTGTGTGTGTGTGTGTGTGTGTGTGTGTGTGTGTGTGTGTGTGTGTGTGTGTGTGTGTGTGTGTGTGTGTGTGTGTGTGTGTGTGTGTGTGTGTGTGTGTGTGTGTGTGTGTGTGTGTGTGTGTGTGTGTAAAAGATAAGGCTGTGTGTGTGTGTGAGGAGCCGTTACGTCACTATACTCAGCGAAATCTCCAACGAGGCGTTCTGGGGCAGCATAGACAGGTCTTTTCTGTGTTAGAGTTTTACTCGCTACAGGGTGTACTTTGAGGGTTTGTGACTTTGCAGACCGTTTACATGCAGAAAAACCTTCATAACACACAAGGGAACAGGTAATAACCAGAAAAGCATGACATGGGACCTTTAACATGGTGGTGTAGCATTTAGTTCTATTAATTGCTGTGCATAAGTACAGCCTCACACAATTGACAGCGTGGCGTGTTTTCGAAATGTATTTAGCTGTAGGAAGAGGCAGCTGATTTCAGCTCAGGGGTCAGGTCGGTGTTAATATTCGGGAGGCGGGGGTGGTCGACCATGCCTTTAGGAATCAGTGGCGTTGAGTCTATGCTGTTCTTGGGAAATGTCACCAGCGACTCTTTGGGTGTTTAAATCTAAACTCTGGGTACTCAGGCCCCCTCATTAACATTGTAGATTCCTTTTGACGCTGGATTCAGGAGCGTCTGGAAAAACAATAAGCATTTGAATATTGAATTCAATGCCCTGTTGAGGGAGTCAGTGCCATTCAGAGTGTGTAAGTGAATCGTCCTCAGACCTCCCCTGGTGGCATAGAGGATGTGTGAGAGAAAGTCATGGTCGGTATAACAGCTTGTTCAGGGTATCATTGAGTCTAAATGTAAAATTCCAGAGAAAAATGAAATACAAGCGTAAAATGCTACGATTCCCTCTCTACATTCCTGCTGCTTCCTTCCTTCCCTGCTCTGTCTTTCCACCACAGGGTAAGGGTTACAGCGCATTGCTTTTTGAAGTAGATATTTGCATAATCAGATTAGGATGCGTGATTGTCAGTGGGCTCCCCCATCAGAGGGTGCTCCAGAGGAGAGAGGGTGCTGTCCAGCCCAACAATGGATAACTCCCCTCCTCTCTCACCCTCCAACCCGCCTGCACCTGCATCCCACCCAGCCACCCGGGTTGCTGGTCGGCCGTGGCGGCAGTGCACGCTTGGTCTTGCAGCCATGGAGGGGGAGAGATAGAGTGGGAGGAAAAGGGAAGAAGGAGGGGGTTTGAGTGCATGACGGGAGTGGGAGGGCAGGGGTTGAGCTGAGATATTTAAACATGCAGAGTGTGAATTGGCTTTAAGGGGATAAAGAGCTCAGGGCCTATCGGTTGGCACCCAACTCCAGAAATTCTTTTTCATGGGCGCCTCAGCCGGGAGAGCGAGGGGCTGCCTGCACTGATCTGGTCCATTGTGATAACAGATTCAGACAGTGTGCTAGACGCTGATAAGGAAATGTGCTCTCAATAGACGATTACCCACATACTTGGGAGAGAATAGTCAATCAGGCAAATATACTTGGTAGAGGGAAAGAAACGCGTACAGATTTGTTATTATTTTCAATGCAGGGTTTCATAATCCTGCAAAAGTTGAGGTCAGGGTAATTCTCATATTGTGATTGGGTGATTTCTGTAAATAAGGTGTATCAGCAAAATGCATTACACTGCCTGACAGCATGGATGTGTGGAAAATCTGTCACATGCTATCCTGTTTCTAAACATGACTGAATATTTAAACATAAGTCTAAAATACAACAAAACCTTCAACAAACAAAGGATTCAGGTTTTAAAAATATAGTATCTCATATTGCCTGGTAGTTCAGTTATTAATAACCAGAGTAGTTTTATTTCAGTTCACCATGAAATTGCTCGATTTACTGTGAAATTGCACAAGAGGTAAATACCTCCCAAATTGATGCTGGGGGAGAGGCACACCGATGCTGTACAGTTGTTTTCACTCTCCCAATATGATTTATTTAGTGTGTTTGCAGCATTACAAAGAGTCACCTGTCAGTTCCCACAGGCCTCCAGTCAGTGTATCCAGCTGCCCTCTGCTCCGTTTACACACCATTAGCCAGAGTTTAACAGCGGCAGTGAAAGGGCTCCAAACCAACTCGGTGTTTACTCTTCAGCTCAGAAAGTTGCACCCTTTTGGCTTAAAATGTGGCACATTTTCCACAGGCACAATAGACCATTAGGCATGTCTATGTTTGACCTCAGGTCTAGAAAACAAACAAGAAGACGGGTGCAAACAAACCTGCTGATATTCCAACTAAAGCTAAAATACTTTACATTACAGTGCGTTCTGGACTGACAAAACATTAATCAACAACTGTTTTGATCATTAATTATCAATTAAAAAAACATGCCAAATGTTTGCTGGTAGCGGTTTTACCATAGGGCTTTACCCATGTGTGTTTTTCTCCCTTTTTTAAATTAATATACATCGAGAAAACAAATAATTTGACATTTTAACTTTGGCAAATTATGATGTGTTTTTCTCACTTTTTCCTGACATTCTACAGACTTACCAATTCAACAATTAATTGAAAAAAATGGTTAAATCAAAAATGAAAAACAATCAGCACTTGGTTGCGCAATTTGAACTTTGGTTGATTTTTAGCTTTTATTTATTTTTATAGTTTGATGTTTTTTTCTATAGGAACATTTATCAAAATGCACAGTAACATTTTGTATATTGATGCATTGGATTTGTAACCTTTTGTGGATGATTCCCATATAACATAAATGAACTGGTGGCTTCCGTCAGTTATCTTTTTCTAAAACAAGTTACACTCAAAGTTCTGCCTACAGTGCTTCTTCTACGTTTTCCTGAAGCGAACTACATCTGCACATTGGTCAACTGGACAGTGTTTGACTCCAGAGTGACCTCCGACTCCCGGGGTCACAAGTTAAGCTGTCACTTTCAGCGCTCCTCTCACAGACCTCTGGTCAGTGGACAGAGAGCAAAGGTCAGCTCTGTGTCCACACGGTCATTACACGACCTGTGGACAAATGTTTCTGGGATATTGAGCATGAACAAAGAGGCGGTAGCTCCGCTCTTAACTTCACATCAGCTGTGTTTTACACAGGGAAATTATTTCATTGGAGACCAACATGATGTACCAATTCCACACTGCGTACTCATTGTAAATGCATTGTCTCAGTACATTATATCTTTGCTGTTACTATGTATAGACTTGGATAAAATGTAGATTGCAAACAGGAAATGACACAATATTGCTGTTGATGCACATCAATCAAACTGTTACTGAGGTTGTTTATCCAAGGATTTAATTGGTACTTTATTTTATTTATTTTAGGTGTTTCTGGTCTTGTTTTACCACAATTTTTCTTTCCAGTCACTACGCTATTTCACCTGTCACTTGTTTTGGGTAAACGCTTTTTACCCAAAATTGTGGGACAATTGTGTCCTTCAACACTCAAGAATAAGCTGTTTTAGTATGTATAATGGGAGTTTTGGGAAATAACATATACATATAATTGCATTTCAAATTGTTTATAACACCACAGTTAAAAAGTGTCGGATTCAGTAAGTAGTTTAAACTCTACCCAAAAATGTAATCTTTCGTAAATCTTGAAGTTTCCAGCTGTAAGATTTACAAACAATTAGTGACCTCTTTAATTAGACAGAAAGTGGTTTTTTTAACAAATCATTTATTAAATAAATAGTTCAAATAAATACGATACTGTATATATTAACAAGCACACCAAAATAACTTAAAAAGGAGGTATAAGAAGATAAATAGCACTCTTCACAGTAGACAATCAATTCATAATCTTTGGCTATATGACATGCGTATTTTACAAAAGCTCAAATAAACACATTTAAATTAGAAGACATATGCGTTGTAAAGGATGTAATTCATCGAAAGCGGATTGTCATTTTTGAAATTTCTCAACCCAATCCTAAGAAAACAAATTGGTCTTCAAGAAACACTGATAACTGTTGTGTAATACTGTATGTGTGAGAAACAGCAAAAGTCTTTCAAATAACTGATTCTTCTGAAGTCACATAACCTTTACAAACAAAAATAAAGGTCAGATTTAGTCTTCAAAAAACAGCATGTCGTAGAAAAAAGGAGAACAAAAGTGCCCTTGGCTATTTTGAGACGATTGCAGTCTGGAGAATTGGCTGAGCCATTATCTATTCAAGTGCTGAATCTATTGCTTGAAATGAGAAATTCCTTAATCCCCTCCATTTTCCTCATCGGCAAAACACCCTGTCATTGCAAAACTAATTTAGTTCCAGGCGGGCATTAACATGAAGACATGAAGGGAATATTGTACATCCAGGCTTTTACACATCCATGCAGAATACAAATTCATTTTCACCCGCAAATCATATTTTAACACTGATCAGCGTGGAGGCTGTACCAACATTTTCAGCCATGTTTGGAGCCCACATATATCACACAATATTGGCTCTTCTGCATTGAAACACGCACGGGTGACAAATGCAGAGACAAAAAGAGTCTTGAGAAAAAACAAGAGCAGTTTGTCAAAACCCCAGGTAAAGGGTCAGAAGGTCCACTCGAGAGTTTCCTTTTTTTGTGTTTTCTACCAGGCCTCGGAGCTGTCGCAGCTGGAGTCAGGTGACGGCACCTCGGTGTCGCTGGTCATGGCCCAGGGGTGAGGAGGGGAGTTCAGCTGCTCCATGCTTCCTCTGAGGAAGGTGAGCAGAGCGGTGGGGGAGTGGCCGGCCGGCTGACCGGTCTGGCTCTCCAGCAGCTGCACCAGGAAGGTGATGTAGCGCATGGCCAGGCGCAGGATCTCGTTCTTGCTCAGCTTCTTCTCCGGAGGATGGGTGGGGATGAGCTTGCGGAGCTCCGTGAAGGCGGTGTTGACGTTGTGCTGCCGCCAGCGCTCCCTCGTGTTGGTGAACACCTTCCTGGTCATGGTGCTGAGTTGAGCTGCAACGATTAATCGAATTATTGATTAGTCGATTGATAGAAAATAAATCAGACTATTTTCATAATTTAGAAATTGTTTTAGTCTATTTCTTTTAAAGCAAAAAAATTCCCAAACATGCCCAAATTCCAGCTTCTTTAATGTGAATATTTTAGGCTTATCTTTGTCATTAATGATAGTAAACTAATTTGATCAGACATTTAAAGATGTCACCTTTGGGAAATTATAAAGGGCACTTTTCAATTTGTATTACATAAAGAATAATAACAAGAGTAATGAGCAGAATCACGGTAAATGTAAACAATCTCAGTTCTTAAGTGACTGACGGAAAGGAAAAGGATACTGTAGTACAGGTACTGTAGTACTTTTCACAAAACGATACATTTTGATTGCACCAATTTACAAAATCCTTCAAGAATATTTACCAGAATCTATGTCGCTGTTTTCTGCTCCTTACTGCAAAATACAACTCTAATGTATTATCTTTTTCTCACAAACGGACATTCCTTCATATTCTAAAGGCTTGTTTTGGAAATGCTTTAACCATACTGCATTATTAAGTATTTATAAGCAGTATATACATTACTGATGGCTTTAAAAGATGGCTTTTCACATAGCGTACGCGACAGATATTTGTCCACAACAATTCCTGTAGGCCCCCACATTTATGGCTGGTGTATGAATAGATGATAAACGACAATATAGTAAATGGAAAACAATTCAAAAGAGATGCAGTTGTTGTCAATTACTCTGCAATATATGAACTGTGAAATAGATGGGTTGAAATAGAGTTTAACTAAATAGTTTTTTCTAAAAAGCTTAATAACAAACAGCTCTTAGAGGAAAATAATCATTATAAATAGATCATTTGATATTCCGGTCAGTGCAAAGCCTTGTATAGAAAATCCTCATCATAACACTCTGGCTGATTAATTATTTACTTGACCAAATTGGAAACACGTGGCCTGAATGAGAAACGAAATACTTGAATCCACATCAAACGCCTCACCTGTATGTGTGTAGAAATGTGCAGAAATGTCAGAGTGGTCCTCCGCAGGTCATCAGTGTCCAGTGGTCCGCTGTGAATGTCCACTCAGTTGTGTCTTCTCATGCTCGATGACAGATCCTTGTGAGCAGGAGGGAGGGAAAGAGCTAAAGAGAGAGGGTGTGAGGGAGGGAGGGATGGGGTAAGACTGCCGCATGCTCGCATCCCACATTTTATAGCAGGGTGAACCCTTTTGTGTGACGTATGCCGTCGTGGAGCCTCTGGCATTGTGTGTGAGGTTGGTGTTAACTGAGGAGTGATTGTTAAAACACCCCCCCCCTCCCTTTTCATTATTTAGATCCAATGGAGGTTTATGATGATATTGTCCATATATCACTTTACATTATTTTTATAGGTATTTCTGTGCAATAATTGAAGGGATTCTGGGTCACCCCCCCCTCCCCCCCACTAAACAGCCTTTTAAGTGACTATTTGTGCAGCTTTTATGATTCATTGCTCATTTAATCCTTGAAGGTTTGCACTAAAGGTGACAAATACATTCCCATTGAAGTGAAACTGAGACGTTCATCTCTCTGATCCTTCGCTCACTGCTGTGGACACTTGTTCCTTTCTATTTCTCTGACATTAGGCATGGACAACCCACCGTTCCTGCACCGTGGAAAAGACCTTGATATCACTGCCTGCTCTGCTATTGAATTCTGCCTGATTGGGCCACAAAAGGTAAAAATACCATATCCAGATTGACAGTTGAACAATATGTGTTTTGTTATGACTATGGTAATCTTGTTGAGCCATTCCAAGGGGCCACACATAAATTACAGCGTCCTAACTCACCTCTCTCTTACCACTTCTCACTCCTCTTTCTCCCCCCTTCTCTGCCTCCCACTTTCAACCTCCGTTCAGATAAAAAAACAAGTCTAGTTTAACCAATTGTCACTGTTCCTTTTACACCCTTCAAGTGTTGTTTCAAAGACGCAGCCTTCCATAAAAGTCTCTGTGTGGAGTAGGAATTTACATAATCCGATTAGGGGCTGGGATTAGCCCCGAGCCTGGAGAACAGGCCCGATGGGGGCCGTTTTCTGAATCGGCCATTCATGGGCCCCGCTGCACGTCCAAGAGGCTGCACCTGCAGGCCTGCACTCTCTGCCTCCATCCAGCCTCCATCCAGCCTCCACTGCAGAGTCTGCAGACACAGTCGCTGGTGTCAAATCTGTTCACTTTTTATCACACCTACAAGGCCAGGTTAAGATTATACCTGATTGGTTGTGATTCATCTATTATGCATGTTTGGGCAACAGCAGAATGACGAGCTAAGAAGCCCCATGTGGTATTTAAACGTTGCAAGTGAAGCGTTTTGATTTGCACACTGTGAGAGACAAAATGAGATGGCTCATGAAGCCAGTCTCATGAGGTCAGGTCTGTTGAATAACAGAGGTTACTGCTGTATTTATTATTGCACACTGTGTTTATAAGACTAACATGTGCAGACAATTCTGGGATACAGAATTAGTATTTAGAGAAGAGCTACGACAGTTAGAAAATCATCACTGACAACCTTTATCTGATTCACTTCTGACCAAGCGTGACTATCGTAAACTAGCTTTGTGTATCCAAAATGTAAATCAGGTCTGGTTTTCATGGTTCTTTAAAAAGCCAACTTTTAAAATAAATATGTTTTTATTCTCCAAATAATAATCACTCAAAAGTTGCTATTGCCACTTTCAAAATGCAGGGAGATTTCTTGCAAATGGACTAATTCCCATCAATTAACAGAAAACTACAGCACCTGCAGATTTATTGTAAACACAGTAGATGAACAGACCTTGAATTGATATTGTTTACAAAATACAGTGAAGCCATTCTAAGCAGTCCAAATAATAACCATAATGTTGATTTGAGCCAGACTTTTATTATAGGGCAATATTGATCAAATGCTGTTTGTCCACGAAGATGATGCAGTGCCATATTCTTTATCATGATGCAATGTTGAGAGTTGCAAATAAAGATCTTATTCATTCAAGATAAATGGATAAATCCTCCCAGTTTATCAAAGTCCACGATGATGTATTTCCATGTCTTGATTTGTAAATCCAAAACCCAAATATATTGAGTTTAATATGTAAAAAGAGAAATGCAAGAATTCTCCGTATTTCACAGACTGAATACAGCTACATGGAAAACTAATCTTAAGATTCATTATTTATAAAAAAAAAATAGCTTGTTTTTGTTGCAGCTCTACAGTGTTGGTTATTGTGTAAAAAAGGTTGTGTTGCTTCTGCTGATATTGATTTCCTTCAGGGATATGTCATTGGGCCTATCTTAAATCAGTTAGGCAAACAAATGTGCACCTAAGACACAGGAAATCCCGCCTCTGCTGGGGCTGTGTGTTTTATGTGTGTGAGGAAACACACAGGTGACACAGTTAACTGCTGCCTGTGATTACAGATAACAGCTATGTGACCTTTACAGCTGTAGCATCCCAACCTAAAGGATAGCTTTGGTTTAAACAGCCTGTTAATTCCCACAATATCTCCCCTGTCCCATTCAGTCTCTTCTTTAAGGATAGTCGGGGGCAATTACTGCACCATTACGGCTGCTGTTTACCGAGCCTTCTTACGGGGGCTCCTTTGACCATCCTGCTTTTGTCCCTGTGCCATTAACAAAAACAAACCATTTACTCTGTCTCTTTGTTTGTCCACTGTTTGCGAGAAGGCAGAGGCCGGAGAGACAGAGACGTTTAAAAGACAAAAAAAAGAAGCTGGTGGGTCATTGATGGTGGCTAGCCAGGCCTGGATGTGTCTGTCCAGAGGAGGGAGGCTCCGAGTCCATGTCCCTCGGGGTTGTCTTTGTCTGGGGATGGTTCCTCGGGGAGCTGGCTTCACTCTGCTGGCTCGTGAAGATAAGCACTCTCTCCACATGCTGAGAGGCGATGATAAGGGGATTGCTTCACTAAATGAAAAAAAAAAGAAATATCCCCACCATTGGAGCTGCTAAAATGAGACGCTTTATCAGTTTAGCTGGGGAAAGACCCTCTCGATCCCACTCCTCCAGCCATAAATCACTATTTGTTTTTCACCAGTAGGCATGCTCTGTGTGGAGGAAAACAAAAGCTAAATGTGCCCACAGTTAAGTCCTATTTTGTAAAAAGGAATTGGTAGCACCTCGCTTATTTATTACTTAGAAGCAGTATATAAACATAGAATAGATTGTTTATAACACCTAATAATCTATAAACAGAAAAAAGGCTTTTTTACTATATAATAATGTACAGTATTTTCAACATATACAATTTCATCTTTGAACACATTTAAAAAAACATTCAAACGTTTATATTGTCATTCATTATGAGTTTACACACCAGCATCCGGTTGGGAATGTGTAACAGTACCGGATAATAACAAGTGCAGATATTGAGGATAATAACAATACAACCTGTGGGTTTTATTTAAAAATCACTAATAAATATGTTTTTAATTGGAAATAGAAGCATAACATTTTAAAACAAGCCATTATAAATACTTAACATATATAACTTTACAAAAATATATTATTAGAACAATAATAAAATGTTGGTATTTCATGTTTTTCCTTTACACACATATTTTTTAAAGACAAAAACTGCTGCTTGGTAAAAATAAAATGTATGTATTTCCAAACAACGCTTGACGTAGAAACTTCTTGGCAGAACAAACAGACCAAGTCAAACGTAATTCTACCTGAACAAACACTTGAATGATGTCATTAATAACTTGAATCTGGCAAAACGATGTCTTTACAAACAGGCCACAGGAACAAGGCATTCAAATCATTTAGAATAATTTAAGCCTCGTCTGTCCATCACTTCTGCCGGGCACCTTCTCATAGCTTAACCTCCCCCTCTTCAGCGGTGTCATCACTGCAACAAAAAAAAAGGAAATATATCAATCTGTGTATTAACCGATTATGCAAAGAAAACAAAATGATTTATCAAGATACACACAAAAATCTCCAGTGTTCCTAGCGCGCTTTTTGATGATGTCATCCTGTTTTTGCCCTCTCTTTCTCTACAATGTTTGGATGAAACTTGCCAATATGGCATTTATGTTTTTTTAATGTATTTATTCAAGGAGTCCTTTTTAGTCTCTTAGCTGGAGAAGAAGCATCAGTGGACCTTTAAGTCACATGCTTTATCGACGTTGTGATTTATTCATCGGTTTCCATCATCCCCAATTTGCTTTAATGACACACCTAAACTATAACAATTAACACTCACCTGTTTCAATTAACCCTGCAGCCTCGCCCCTCCTCTTCCTCTCTTGTCCGATCCAGCATTTGGAGCCGTAGTTAGTGGGAATCATCGCGGTGTCTCTGCTGTTGGTGAGAAAGTCGTTGCTACTTTGGCCTTGACCCCACAGCGTGACCTCTGCTGGGGGGCTCAGGCTGTAGGTGACGTGGGGGTTGTCAGGGTGATGGACACTGTAGACCGGCGAGTGCCTGGACATGTGACTGTGGGCTGGCTGCTGCATGGCGTTGGGGCTGAAGCTGAGGGTGGAGTCCAGCTCGAAAGGACTTTTGCGTCCTGGAGGTCCTGTATGGGTGTTGAGGATTGTTGGAACCTTTGGTGTCCACTCACTGTTTACTCTTCCAACAACTCTCCCCACGGCTCCAGTTCTGCTTCTCCAGCCGGAAGACTTCCCCTCCTCCCTGTCCTCCTCTCTCCACTGACCACTGCTGGTCCAGCTCCTCTGGGGGGGGTGGAGGTCCTCTGGGCTGCTGAAGGAAGTACTCACGTCAAGTCTAAAGTCTGTGTGGCCCTCCTGCATGGAGTCTGTGTTTGGTTCACAGAAGCTGCGATCGGCTCCGAACAGGAAGCTGCTGTTGCCGTCACTACAGAACAGTTCTGGCTGAGGTTCAGAGTCGTTGTGCTCGGGGTCATCAGTGGTGGTCCACAGGCTGTTTAGGGGTCTGGGGTGATGTGTTGTCTCAGTCAGGACCGCCTGAGACTCCGTGTACAGGGAGGTGGTGTCACTGAACAGCTGAAACCAGGAAGA